GGCTTCAGGATTTCCTCACACACCTGGCCTTCACCCCTTCCTCCCACATTTAGGCTTCAGGATTTCCTCACACACCAGGCCTTCACACCTCCTCACACGCTTGGCTTTCACCAGGTGGGCTAGGGTTGCTGTTCCCAGTTCATGGTGGCGAGGGGGCGTTGAGGGTCGAACGGGGTTCCTGTCTGAGTTCAGTCGCAAGTCTGGCCCGCTTTTGGGCCAAGCTCTGGGTAGGCACAGGTGCGTTCGAGTGAGAGCCTGAGGGAATCGTGACAGAATCCCAGTTTTTTCTAACATTTCTTACCATGGTTGCCAGCCTGTTTTAATAATAAATGAGGAGAAGCAGAATATCTGGTCCATGACTGTGGGGCACACATTGTCCCCTCCACCACAAATCCCGTGGCCTTTGTGAGGTCAAGGCTGGCGCAGCGGTCAGAGAGCCCCCTGGAGCCACGTGCTTGGGCTCCTGACCCCACTCCACCCTACTGTCTGTGCGCCCTTGGGCGAGGTACCTCACCTCTCTGTGTTCTGGCTACCTTGTTAATAAACTAGAGCTGATAATACCTCCTTATGGGCTGGTTGTGAGGATTAAGTACATTAGTCCGTGGAAAGCAGCCCGCAGGGTGTCTGGCCTTCAGCACGCAGTAAGCGATGGATGGCGGTGGCGATGGTGACATCTTCCCGGGCCCTTGCCTGCTTTTTCCTCAACGCCCCTCCCATCCATGCAGCGGTGCATGTGCAAGAGACCGCCCCCCTGCCTTCGGGGGACTTCAGCTCCCTGCGAGCCTCAGTTTCCCCATCTGGCTGAGGGGTGACTGCCTGAGCCCTGGTAGGCACAGGAAGCACAAGCTATCACCCGTCCCGCCCCGCATGCGAGCGCAGTAGGCTGGTTTCCTTAGTCGGAGGTGGGCTGACAGGCCCCAGGAATCCGTGTGCGGAGACGGTGAGCGCAGCGCGCAGAAGGCAGCACCCCTGGGCGAGAGCCGGGCAGGGGTCGGACCGGCTGGGTCGGAAGCGCGTCAGGGTGGAGGCCCTTCCCGTTCCGTGTGGCTGCAGCAGCAGGATCCTGCTGCTCCTGACCTGTTGCCCCTGGTCTCTCCTGGGGCATCACAGCCAGCGGCCCTCTGGAGGGCTTCTCTGCAGGGTGGGGGGAGGCTGTTCTCCGCGGGGGCGGGGTGGGCTTCCCGCCAGGACGTGTGGTGTGTTAACGCGAGCGTCTTCTTGACTGTAGCAGTGGCGCTTGCTTCCCTATCTGGCCGCCGCCTATGCCTTAGACCACTTCTCTAAATCGCTCTTCCTGGACTTGGCGGAGCTGCAGCAAGGCCTCATGGGGACAGACCAAGGCGCCAGGCAGGTGAGAGGTGATGCTCTTTTCTCCGCAGGTTTGTTGTTATTAACTCTCACCGAGGTCGAACAGCACTGACTCAGCCTGTCTTTCCTAACAACGTCTGTCCATCCGTGGCGGCCCTGTGGGGTTCTGAGAGGCTCCTAGCTGTGGCCGCCCGCTCAGGCCTCTTGGAATCCTCACTGGGATTTGGACAGTTTGGGCACTGTCCGTATTCCCGATTCTCAAGGATGTGCTGACATGACTCCGATTCCAGCCTGTGAGTTCAGCTGTCCTCCTCCTTTTGAGAACATGATGATTTTGCAGAATCCGCATTACTGGCCCCTCAGTAGATTTCATGGTTCTGATCCTTTCGTAAACAACCCTGTAAAGGTCTGAACCCAGCTGACGGGATTGGAATTGACAGTCAAGGATTTATGCCAGAAATGAGCGTCCACTGAGCTCAGCCGCTGCGTAAAGTCATCCTTGGCTGATCTCTGCGTCAACGGTTTATAACCGCCTTTCCATGGTCCCTCGCATTGCCTCCTGGGTGTGAGTAAAATGTGAATCACGAGGAACGCATTTGAAAACAGATTAGAAATACTGCAGATCGGTCTTATGTACAACACCCTAAAAAGCCTGTATCAAATTAGCACATTTTGGAATATTCAGCACAAACATCCGGGAGTCGGGAGGCGGTGGGGGGTGTGGAGACGGCCAGCAGGGTGCACTGCTCAGCAAGGCACGGTCCCTGGGAATGCAAGGATTAAACATGTTTTTCCCCAGCATGAGTCACCGAAATTTTTGCCAGCTGACATTGGAATCGTTCTCCTGTTAATAATGTTATAAAGTGTAAGCATGCTTTATTCTCTCTGAAACTCAGGGGTTTCACTGAAGCACCTAAAAGTGGCCCTTAGTTCAAGTTGAAAACACTGGTAAAAGGGATCATCCTATTTAGCAGACGTGTGTTTGTCTCTTTCTCTTAATTATTTCTATTAAACGTTAGGTAGAAGCAAAAGGATATCTGTAAGACGCATAAGGCCCGGAGACGCTGGCTGGGGAGAGCCTTGCAGAGTTGACTGGAAATCGCCATCCCCTGCACAGTCTCCTGGGAACCGGTCCCCTCCCGGCCCCCTCCTCGGAGGGGAGCCCTGTCTCCACCTCCTGTGTGGGTTCTTGCTTTTCTTTCTGCCACAGCATATTGCTTGGTTTTGGGTTCGGGAGCATCTCATAAACCGAGTCGAAACGCACTCGTTGCTTCTGTGCTCTGCATCTATGATCATCCTTACGCCCCTGGTGTTTATTCGCTGCACAGAGTTCAGGTCCATCCGTTTTCATGGCTCTGAAACCATTTGTACCACAGTGTATCCCCTCTGAGATGAATCTCCCCTTTTCAGCTAAAATTGGGTTTCTTTCTTTTTCCTGCAGTTGTCGGGTGTCTTGGATTAGACTAGAGGGGACACAAGCCTTTGACGCTAGGGGTGAAGTGACCCCTGACCTCTGGTGTCGGAGCCTCTTTTCACCTGTTCTTGTTGGATTTCCTCTCCCAAGGCAGAGCTCGGACGTGAGATCCACGCCTTGGCATCGGCGGGCAAGCCCCTGGCCTCATGGACCGCCCAGCGGGGAATTCAGGAATGCCGGGAGGCGTGCGGAGGACATGGCTATCTGGCCGGTAGGTTTGGAAGTGTGTGATGGTTTTCTGCCCGTAGCCCTACTTTTGACTCAAGGGGTCAGCAAGCTACCGCCTGTGGGCCGAAGTTAGCCACCGCTGGTTTTTGCGAATAAAGTTTTATTGGAACATGGCCACGCCCATTCGTTCATGCATTTTCTGTGGCCGTGTTTGCATGACGCCCGGGTTGAGTCGTCTCTGTCAAGCCTAAAATGTTCACTGGCTGGCCTTTCCCAAAGCAGCTCTGCCGACCCCCTGGCCTAGACAGACACCTCCACTTGCTGCTGCCCCCTGTTCCTTGGTCTCCCGAGGTTCCCCGCAGGGTAGGCAGCTCCCCTGGAGTGTCCGTCAGTGACCCCCACGCCGGGGAGCAGTGGGTAGGCCGTGTGAAGGAGCCCGCCAAAACCCCAGCAGAAAGTGGATAATCTGGGGGCGCCTGGGTGGCTCAGTCGTTAAGCGTCTGCCTTCGGCTCAGGTCATGATCCCGGGGTCCTGGGATCGAGCCCCACGTCAGGCTCTCTGCTCAGCGGGAAGCCTGCTTCTCCCTCTCCCACTCTCCCTGCTTGTGTTCCCTCTCTCGCTGTCTCTCTCTCTGTCAAATGAATAAATAAAATCTTTAAAAAAAAAAAAAAAGAAAGTGGATAATCTGTCCTTTAGAATTGTCACTCTTTGCTTAATGACTTGGCAGTAATCTGGCACCAAGTTTTGTCCTGGTGAAAAATTCTTAAACTTAGAGCAAGGGAGTTGGTTTTTACTGGCATTGGCCTTATTTGGGCAGCTGGTGTGTGGCTGAGAGAGGGGGCAGCGGACGGCCTGGGACGAGCTTCTGCTCTGATGCCCGCTAGCCACGCGACTGGGCCAGCTAACCAGCCTCACGGGCCTCAGTGTCCTTATCTGTAACATGGGGACGATCACAGTGTGCCAACACAGTTCCTGCCGTGGTCACGTGAGTCGGCACGGCGTGGGGCGTGTGGCACGTCGCGTAGCCAGTGGCTTCTATCTGAGGCTGTTGTTGGAGCTCTTAGTACTGCTGTAGTTGCCGCTGTTACTCGTGAGCGTCCCGTGTGCCGATGTTCAGTGACTGGCAAAATCTAGTTAGCCCAAGCAGGCCACCAGGTGCTCCAGACAGCAGGATCGGCAGAAACCTTGTTTTCAGTTGACAGTGCACACGCATTTTAGGCTCTTGCCAACTTGGACCATCTCGGGGGTGGTCTGTGGTAAGTACGTGCTTTCGGCGAGGACCCGCCCCAGGTTCTTGTCGTGCGGGCGGCTCCCGCCACGCTGCCTCCCCGTTACCCACGGACCAACGGGAGACCGTGGCTGCGCCCGAGGCACTTACATGTCGCGTCCTCTGTGCAACGTTCTGTACTTTCTGTTTGTTGTCACGGCTCAGAGAGACGCTGTAAATAGTTCGCTTTATTGGGCTTCAAGGAGATAATGAAATGGAATCAGGCAGCCCCGCAGACAACGCGAACACCCGAGTCAGCTGTCGTGGGTCCAATGGGGGGCTGAAACCAGCAAGGCCAAGCTCAGTGGGGTGGATGGGACGGGCCTGGTCCAGGTTCAGTATCAGTTGCGAGTTGTTTGTTAGTGGTCACGCCCAGCTGCTTCGGTAGAGCGGTCTGTGGCAGGGGGCAGCAGGTCGGGGGGGAAAACGATCCGTGTGTCCCAGGTGACCACAAGCCCCATGGCTGCTGCAGAACATCTCACACCCTCTCGGGCCCTGTACCCAGCAGCGTGTGAGCATGGGAATCCCACTCCTCTAACCTCTGGCTCGTCCTGTCCCACCCAGCCTCACATGTGGAGAACATTCTCCATCAGAGGAAGGAGACCCAGATGAGAGGGTCTAGAAAGTGTACCTTATAAAGTATGTGCAGGAATCAGGTCCCTTCACTGGCAGGAGAGACAACAGAAGAAAACTGAGAGTTGTCTTGAGATGGTTGAAATTTCTTTTTTTTTTTTTTTTTTGAGATTTATTTATTTATTTTGAGAGCGAGCGAGCAAGAGAACGTGCACAAGCAGGAGGGGCAGAGGGAGGAGAGAGACAATCCCAAGCAGACTCTGTGCTGAGCGTGGAGCCCGAGGCGGGGCTCGATCTCATAACGTGAGATCGTGATCTGAGCTGAAATCCAGAGTCCGATGCTCAACCGACGGTGCCACCCAGGCGCCCTGAGATATTTGAAATTTCTTGTGTAAAAAGATGGGTTCCCCGCAGGGTAGGCAGCTCCCCTGGAGCGTCCGTCAGTGACCCCCACACCGGGGCTCTGGCAGCTGACTGCACAAGGCTCAGTGTCCGCAGGGGAGAGGGATGTGCTACCCTGGGCATTTCTCGAGCCGGCGCCGCGGGCCTCACGGGCTCAGCTGCGTGGCTACTCGTGTCTCCTTGAAGACGGAGCAGCTGGCTGAGAGGCTGGGAGGACCCAGCCAGGGAGGAGGTGTGGTTGGGCCCGGGCAGCCTGGGAGTGCTGTGTCTCCATCAGGCCGGCCGGGACATTGGGGTTCCCCCAGGGAGCGGCGGGGTCCCTGCCCTGCACGCGCACTTGAAGTGACAAAGCACGCGGCTTCATTGCAGTGAACCGCCTGGGTGACCTCAGGAACGACAACGACCCCAACTGCACGTATGAGGGGGACAACAACATCCTGCTGCAGCAGACCAGCAGCTATCTGCTCAGCCTGCTGGCACACCACGTCCAAGGTGAGGCCCCACCCTGGCTCACGCAGGCAAGCCGTCCCAGCCCTGCCGAGGGAGCTCGCCCCACAAGGCCCCTGTGTCTGCAGGAAGGAAATGTGTTACGAAACATGACTGACCAGCTCCCGGGGTGCTCCGGTCACTCCGGGTCCTGGGTGTGCTTGTAGGTGGCGCTCACTTCCAGAGCCCTCTGAGGACTGTGGACTTCCTGCAAGCCTATCCCGATATCCTTGGCCAGAGGTTCACATGCCCCAGCGTCGACAGCTGCCTGGACTCCTCAGGTGAGCGTGCCGTCTCCCTGTTTCCCTCCCGTCGTGATCCCTGGGGCCCACTGTGCAGCAGGGGTTCATCCAGCGCCTCCCTGGGCGTGATGCTGAGTCAGGCGCTGACTCTCCCTAAGGATGAAGAGGGAGAGGCTCTGGGTCCTATCCCTGCCTCGCTGGGTGGCAGGGCCCGTGACTGAGCTGTCTTCACAGGAACCCGGGGCCCTCCTGCTCAGGGCCTTTGCACGTGCCAGCCTCACTGGCCTCACTTCTGTGGCCCCCGCCCCGCGGCACGTTCACCGTTCTCAGCCCCAAACAGGCTCAGCTGCAGTCAGCACTGGGCTCCATGCTCATCGCGCTTGGCCGTGATTGTTGAGCGCCTAACCCTAACCATGGGATACCCGCCGCCATGCACGGGGGGAACGGCAGAGACCCCGCTTCTCCCCCACGGGGTCTATCCTCAGAGAAATGAGCGCGGGCTGTAGGCAGCACACGACAAGCAAATGCGTTTTCAATGCAGAATGTACTCGATCTACAGACGGCACGTGCCCTTATGCTGGTCGCCCCTTTGATCTACAAGTATCAGTGTGCAACCTGGCTGGGAGGCAGAGCCGCGAGACCCAGGTTCCTGCTCTCACGCAGCTTTGCAGTCCAATGGGGGCGGGCCTGGTGCAGGGAGCAGGGGCTGTGTGGCGGTGGCCCGCGCAGGACAGCCTGTCTGGGGTCTCAGTGACAAGGACGCGGTGGCCACAGGGGCGCCGTGGGAGGGATGTATCCGCTGGGGTGCACCTGTCGTCCAGGGCCATGGGAAACACTTGACTCTGAGCAAGAGAGCTGCTCACCGACTTGGGTCTGTGTGTTCGTTGTGACGATTCACTCTCAAATGTTACTCTGGAGAAAAGGCTGCTCTGGCAGCTGTGGGAACAGAGGGACACGGCAGGAGAGGGTGTCCTGGACTGGGTGGTGGCGGCTCCAGCAGAGGGGGCGGACCAGCTCCGCCAGGACTCGGGTGGAGCGGCTCCAGCAGGGGGGGCTTGCTGAGGCACCGGTCCCATCCCAGGTCACCTCCCTCTGCAGCTGCCCCGGCGCCCGGGCTCAGGGAGGTCCGGCAGCGCGTCCACAGTGCAAGTGCAGAGCCCGGGTCCGGCCGAGCCTGTTGTGCTCTGAAGCTCGGCATCCTCCCTGACAGCCCCTGGAAGCCTCCTGATGCGCGCGGGGCTGAGACCTGCAGAAGGAGCAGGGACGGAGCTCCTGCCCGAGCCTGCGCCCCCACCTCCCCCGAGCACTTGAAGCCACAGCTGAAACGTCACTGATCCCGCCGTCCTCTGACCCGTGAGCACCGAGGCCACGTGCTTCACGCCCCTGGGGGGCCGGGCAGGAGCTGCCCTTGTGCTGAGCCCCCCAGGGACCTGCCGGGAGAGCGAGGGGGCGCCCCTTCCCCGCCTCGGCCTGCTGGCTGTACCCGCTCCGTCAGGCCCTCGGGACACGGGAGCTAACACTGTGGAGTGCTCAGCGCCGTGCCCGGTACCACTGGCCGCCGTCGTATGCACGACCACGCATGCTCTCCTCGCCATCTCGGGAGTCTCGAACATGCCCCTTGTTCCACCGAGGGCCTTTGGCATGGGAGGAGGGCACCTGGCCTTGCATCAGGAGACCCCAGAGCGAGTGTCCCCTGGGCCTGGGGGCCGCCGCCCACCCGCCCGTCAGGGGCCGAGAGCCCATGACATCACAACATCAGCAACTGTGGGTGCTGAGGGCATCCGCCTCACTCTCCGCTCGGCCCCGCTGGGCCGCACACACCGCTCCCATCTTCCCGAGAGGAGACCGGGCCAGGTGGCACCGACTGGTCCACCCCAGTCCACGCCAGCAGTCGGAGCAAGAGTAGAACCCGGGCTGGGCGACATCCCGGCCACTTCCTCCCTCATCATCATCATCATCCAGGAAGTTTCTGCTCACAAGTGCTTTCTTTCTTGTTGGTCGCCACATTTTGTCATGCCTTTCCTGACGATAACCACCTGGCAGGCCTTCACCTGCCTTCGTAAGGTGCCCGTAGGAAGCAGGACACACTTAAAGGTCTATTTCAGACGGTTTCAGAGCGCCCCAGCCAACAGTTGCTACAGAAAACACTAGAAAAAGAGCTCATGCTTCTCATAACATCAACCCAACCAGAATTTCTTTCCCTAAAACCATCACCCATTGTAAACCAAATAGTAAACAAGCGGTCTGGTGGCTTCTGGCCACGCCGGGCACTCTGCTGTAGCCCCTCCCTCGCGGACTCCGTGCACGCGGGGCCCCCTCCTGCGCGTTGCGCCTCTGCACCAGGACGCATGCCAGGCCCCGTCATCTGTTTTTCCCGTGAGAGCCCTGGCTTTTGCAAGATCCAACAAAGTGGAAACATCTTCTGGAGGAAAAAAATGGAACCAGAATTCATTTGGTGAAAGTGACACTGGGTGCTGACGTCACCGTCCACGCAGAGAGGGAGCCTGTGCTACGTGGCCAAGCCCCTCGGCTCCGGGGCCCGTGGTCCTCCCACCCCACGTGTCAGCCCTGGCCACAGCCGGTGGGATCCGCAGTAAAGATTCCGTGAAATCTTTACGAGCCTTGCTCTCTGTAGGACCAGAGACACGGGACCTCGCAGGACCGAGCATAGCCTGTCGGGAAGGTCCAAGAGTTTTCCTTCAGGGACAAGTCGTTTATCTGGGGGGAGGCCGGCACGGCTCGGGTCCTCGGATGTCTCTCTGCTTCCTCTGATTCACACACAGGCGTGCGTGCCGAGGACGGGCCTCACAAATGTTCCTGTGCATTTGAGGATCTGCACTGTCACTTGGCAATATGAGGCCCATTTGTTTTTCTCAAGTTGGCTGATTTGCAAAAATACTCAATGATTGTGGCTCAGCGTACGTGGTTCCAACAGCCACATGTGTGTAAAGCAGTGGGCTCACATCACATCCTATTCCGTGGGGCCCCGTGGTGCAGTCATGGGACCTCAGGCTCCGGAGTCGGCGTGACCTAGGGCTGGATACTTCACCTCTCCGAGCCTCAGTTTCCCCTGTAGTGCACGGGGGGATGTGGTCATCCCCATGCTGAGCCTAGTAGGGCCTGGGCTGTGTTTCACTCGCGCTGGGGGCTGGGGGCCGCCGGGGCTGCCACTCTGAGCACCCCTGTGGATGCAGCACAGCCTAGCTGTTTCCCCAGCTGCCGGCTCCCTGGCGGTCTTGTACCTTTACAGGAGGTCGTGTGGGGACATCCAGCCACACAAGAGCGCTAGGGTGTGGGAACACAGACAGACAGCAGGCACCACCCAGACCTGGGTCGTGCCAGCCAGGGAGCTGGGGCCAGTCATCCACGCCTTGCTTTCTGGGCACGCCAAGGTCAGAGCCCCGCTTCAGAAGGGGAGATCAGCCAGGAAATGTGGACCCAGGCAGAGGCAGCCTCGGAGAGGAGAGTGGAAGGGTGGGAGGCCAGAGAGGTGGTCGGCAGGTGGCTGGCCGGCCTTGAGGGGCTCGCTGGATGGACGGCTGGGTGCGAATGAAGCCCCCAGTGGTCAGGGCGAAGAGGTGGGATGACGCTGAGTTCAGGTGTCGCTCGTGGAGTCGAGTGTCTGGCGGACGTGCCCAGGAGCCCCGGGACTAGGAGGTGGGGCAGGAGAGGCAGGTCTGGGGACACTGGATGCTGTGGCAGTGCCCCCTGGGGAGTGTGGGCGGGGCCGGAAACAAATGTTTTCTCTCTGGCAAGTCTGGACAGAAGGTGTGGGCTGGGCTGTGCTCCCTCCAGAGGCTTGGGCGGGACGGTAGGTCAGGGCCCCGGGCATCCTGGGCTCCATCGCCCCTGTCCCCCCGATGGCCTCGCCCATATGTGTATCTCTCCTCTGATCCTAGTAGGACACTCGTTGTTGGATTTCGGGCCCACCCACTCCCGGGGGATCTCCTCTCTGATTACGTCTGCCTTTTCCTGAGAAAGACGTTCACAGGTTTGGGGCAGGACGTGAGCATGTCTTTTGGGGCTCCCATTGGAGCTACCATGCATGGCAGGACTCTGGACTGAGGACAGCTGTGAGAGGAGACCTCAGAGAAACTGCAGGCCATGAGCAGTTGTGCTGATCCAGTCGAGGGTCCACGATGGGACCCCAGAGAGCGCTGCCCATCTTCTTCCCGGGAGTGGGCTGTGTGATGCAGGAGCAATCCCAAGGACCCTTCGCCCAGGCTTTGGGCCCAGACCCGGTGTGGCCAGGTCCCCACGGTCCCTCCTGGGAACTGTGAGCCTAGAGCAGCTGCTGAGCGGAAGGGCTCCCCCGTGCCCTGTGGCCTCACCCCGGTGCCCAATTCTGTGCCCGACTCTGTGCCGGGGTGGGGGGGCGTGAAAGTGTGGACTCGGGGCTGTGTGTCCAGGTCAGACGACTCCTGCCCACTCCCTCTGTGCCCCAGGTCCTCCTTGGGAGGGTGGTAACAGCTCTGTGTGGCAGGGTGTTCTGGGGAGTTTGGAACCTGCCTGGTCCGTAGGATATGCCGTGTCAGCATCAGCCCTGGCGGAGATGTGATGAGGAGGAGAGGGGCCCACAGACGTGGCACAGCGCTGGGGGCAGGGAGAGGACAGGGGTCGGGGGGGCACCCTGCAGTCTCTCCGGTGGGTCTTCCTTCTACCCCTTCCAGCGCCGGCCCGTATGTCTGCAATCTGTCTCCTCCCTCAGAGCTCCTTGGGAGGGGCTCCTTGGGAGCCAGTGAGAACGCCCAGCTCAGCTGCCCTCCAGCCCCAGGGAGGCCGAGGGCTGGGCTGGCCAGGGAACGGGCACCCCTTCCTCCTGCCGCCTGCCCGTCCTCTGCCGCAAAGGTGCCCTGCTGTCCCCACGAATCCGTAGTGACACTGAGGGGATGTACCGTGTCCCAGCAGATGAAGCACGTGAGCCCCAGCCAGAATTTGCAGCCCTCCCAAACAAGGTGCTCACCCCAAAGGTGGCTCCGCGGCCCCCTGGCCTCTGGTTGCTGGAACAGTGTGGAACGCGGGGTGCCCTCGCGTGTCCGTGTTTCATAGACTCGTCCCGAAGGTGGCTTGGTGCCCGCGAGCTGCCCATCTGCCCATCCCGGGGGAGTGCTCTGCAGACGGTAGATGCTCTATGGTTACTTTTGGTTTTTCTGTTTCTTGTTTTGAAGTTCCCCTGGCGGCTTACGAGTGGTTGGTTTGTTACCTGCTCCGCAAGAGTTATCAGAAATTAAATCAAGAGAAAAGATCAGGAAGGAATGACTTTGAAGCAAGAAACAACAGTCAGGTATATGTCTGTTTTAAAAAATCGCTTGTTTGATTCACTCCCAATTCCTGCACTGCCGTGGCCTCGGTAAGCTGCCTGTCGTGGTGGTGGCGGCCGAGCCCTCCGGCCCCTGTGACCACGGGAGCGTGGCTTCTCTGCACCTTGGTCTGCTGCAGGGACCTCACTGGACTGTGGGTGTTGTGTTCAAGGTGCCCGGCGGCGTCTGGCCGCGGCTGGAGCGGGGACGCTGGGTTGTGGGGCCCCAGCCCTGGTCCCTCTCAGCCGACCGGCGGCGGCTTGGTGACACGCGAGGTCACACTTGCTTTCTCTCGGGGCATTACTGCCCTTCTCGGGGAGCCTTGGTGGGAATGGTCCCAGGGTGGCTTTGGTTCTCATGCTTGGACTGGGCTGGCTCCCACATTCCGGAACCTACCGCACAAAGGCAGCCTGCTCTAAAACACCTCCTGGCATCAGGATCTGGCCTGTTGTGACCCATACATCCAGTCCATCTGGGGTGACGGCTGTCGTTTGGGAGGCCACGGATAAAGGAAACGTAAGAAGTTTGTAGAACTGGTGTCATTCCTTCTTGGCCTTGTTTTGTGAGGCTCATTTCATGTCCTCTGAGAACTCAGCATCTACGTCTGCCCGTCTCCTCTGAATGAACCCCGACCCCTCCCGTTACACTGTGATGGGCAGCTTCAGTGCTTGGGTGGACGTGGTCAGGAGCAAAGCCAGCGGTGTCTCCAGGGACCTGCTGGACACACCTGCCCCAGGTGTGCAAGTGAGGAACAGGATGGCATCTTGACTGGAAAGGCCTGGATGGATAACTGGAAACCAGGACTTACAGGAATTCAGCAGGTGGCCCCCATCAGTAAACTTGACCTCAGTGCCATGGCGACCAAAGTAGGAGGCGTGGCAAGGATCCTTCCGGAACGGCTGGGGCCACAGTAGGCTTAGTCTTTTGGACACTGACGGGGGTGGATTAGCCTGTCCCATGTCACCCCTTTCCCTGCCCATCAGGCTGTCACTCGGAAGTGGAAGTGGAGGGCCTCCCTAGAGTCACAAGCCAAGGCCCCAAAGAGATGGAGGGCACAAGAGGCACCCATTCCCGCTGCGTCCGAATCCCGAAGAGCTGCCTGGAGGTGGCTGTGGGTCTCCGTGCCGTCCCTCTGCACGCCTGCCTGCTGGCCCGTGCCCGGCACCCTGACACCGGACCTCAAGCAGGGGCTCAGCCGTTTTAGAAATAATTCACCTTTACGCCTTCGTTAAAGCACTCCGTGGCAGCACTTCAGTGAGTCACACGGCAGAAAAGGTCAGGAGAGGCCAGCCTCGCCTGGCTCTGATCCCAGAGCCTGCGAAGAGCAAGCCCTGGGTCAGCTCTCACGGCCTGGGCTGGACGCTCACAGACGCCCCAGGAGGACACAGCCCCTTCCCATACGGTGACCTGAGCAGCAACTGGGCACGAGAGGAAAATTTCAGAGAGAATGCATGTGTAGCCTCGGCATGGGACGCGCCTTCTTGAGACAGGAAACCAGAAGCCGTAAAAAAGAAAAAGTGGTCAGATGTGACTGTGTCAACGCTCACCATTTCTGTAAACAAAGTCCGGAGACAGGCTGCAGGCTGGGCACGCACATGCGGCGGGACCGGCAGGGCGTCCCACCGGGGAAGGGCTCTTGGCCGGGGAACCAGCGTCGGCACAGCGGTCGCCGAGCACGACCCGGGCATGCAGGGGAAGGATGGTGTCCGGCGGGTCGTGGGGGCAGGAGCTGCTCTGCCCTGTGGCGCGGTTAGGGGCTGCTTTTCCGTGAAAATACAGAGCGTGCTGACTCTGACTCATGGGGGAGCGCATTTATCTCGCATCCCCTCCTGCCCACCCCTGAACAGCTGCCCCTTGCTGTGCACCTTCTACAAGCCGGCCGCACCCCGTAGGTTCTTTAAAAAAAAAAAAAAAGATGCGTTTATTGCCTTTTTTGGCCGAGTAGTACCCTCCCGTGTTCAGAGTGAGCATGTGTAAAACGGTGGGCGGTGGGGCCCCATACGCCCGGAGCTGCTGGCCTCCGAAGGCAGATGAACCGTGTTCTCCTTGCCCCACCGCACCCGGGGCTCCTGACACGGGTCATTTCCTGCCGTCTTCTCTGATGGATCGGGCAGTCGGAGCCAAGAGACATGCCCTGGGTCACCCGGCTCAGCTGTGCTGGGGCTGGCCCGGAACCCAGCGCCATCCCCAGGCCCTGGCTCTTTGCCCTGAACTGAGGTCTGAATGTTGAAAATGAGGAGTTCATTTTTTGCCTGAAGTGTCCATGATTCGCTCCTGTGCAAATATCCTCAGGAATTAGAGCACAGCAGAAATGAACAGCTGGACCTGATGGTTTAGGGCTTCGTGGGGGTGGGGGCTCGCGGGAGAGGGGGAGGGGCTGGGGGCAGGGGCTGGCCCTCCGGACTCTTCACAGGTGACGGCCCTGCCCTCGAGCGCTCGCAGTCTGCAAGCACTTGTCCCGGGTTCGCTGCTTCCGAGTGACAGCTGACCCCCAGCCACGTTGGACTCCCCGCGGGGACAGTTAAACGGCACGGCCCGGGGGGTCAGCGGACTGTGCAGGAGCCCACGGGCAGAGCCGCGGCCTCACCGCCTGTCCCCGCCTAGAGGAGCTTGGGGGAGCAGAGGCTCCGTCTGACCATCCACGGACAATTCCTGGGGGGCCTGTCCTGTGCGCTGTGGGATGCTCAGCAGCACCCCACCTCTGCCCACGAAGGTGTCAACAGCACCCCTGAGTTTTGACAACCAAAGATGCCAGCCAGGGTCGGGTGTAGACACGGAAGGCACCGCATGCTCCTCAGTATAGCTCAGGCCACGCGAGTGCTGTTCTTCTCATCAGAACAGATCTGGTAAAATGACAGTGGAGACGGGAAAAGAAAACCTAATGAAGCTGATGATGCTCAGCGGGCTCTGGGGGGTGCTGGTTAAGAAGGACACATCGGGACCAGAAGACCGGCCGAGGCCTCCTGCTCCCACAAACACAGCGGGCGTCAGAACTCCTGCACCTGCAGGCCGGCTGGGAATGGTCCCGTGTCTGAGCTGCAGGGCCCGGCACGGTTGTCCCTGTACGTGTCAGGTGGGGCCGAGCTGGGAGCGGCCACTGGCCTTCCCCAGGTCGTGGAGCGCACGGACCCCGGCCTCGGCCTCAGCTTTCTCTGGCCGCTGGCCTTCCTGCGGTGTTTGCACACAGGTGATGCTCATGCCGTGCCCCCTCCGTGCACGACTTCATTTGGTGTCATTGTCCTGCCCGGGGACGTGCGCTGGAGCTCCCACCCTGGCCTGTGTGCCCAGCGGTTTCTTCCACCGCCCCCCGCAGGCTGTAACCGGGGCCCCAGCTGCCGGCTCACGGGGGCCGGCGGCCCTGTGTTGTGTTTTGTTTTAAGGTATACCACTGCCATCCCTTGGCCCTGGCGTTCCTGGAGCTCACGGTGGTGCGGAGGTTCCACGAGTACACGCACCAGCCCCACGTGCCGCCCCCGCTGCGGGCCGTGCTGGGGCGGCTCAGTGCCCTCTATGCCCTGTGGTCCCTGAGCCAGCACACGGCCCTGCTCTACCAAGGTGAGCCCCTGTGGTGGGCACCTGCCCCCCCGTCCTGTCCCGCCCGGTCCTGCCCGGGGATTCCAGCCGCGTCCTAACCAGGAGACTTGGCCTTTCTCGTGAGGTATTACCTCCATGTGCATTCACTGGGCATTCCTCATAGGCTGGGGGAGTCTGTGGGCAGATAAGGAGCCTAGAATCCACGGTAAGAAAAGCGGCATCAGGACAGGACGTTTCCCTTTCGTCCAGGGCCCTTTGAAGTCTGTTTCCAGTTCAGAGAATATTTCCAGGAGGCCCACGTTAGCTAGGCAGGGAGCTGGTCTATAGTGAGCTGAAGCCCATGCCTCCCGGCCCATGGGACCCAGATAGACACGAACCCAGGCTGCTGGGAAGCACTCTTAGGAATGCCCAGCCTGAGGACCCAGGAGGGCTTCCTGGAGGAGGTGGTGTGGGGGCTGATTCCCAGAAGATTGGTGAAAATGGGGTAGGCCTGGATTTCTCAATCTGTTTTCATTATTGTCCTTCTAAGGAGCATTTTTAGACCATTTTCTCTAATTTCCCCCGAGACAGTTAATGCTATGACAGCCTGTATATCTCTTCTCATCCTGTGTGTGTATCTTGGCTTTCTGAAGAGTGAGACTGTTTGTCCTGCTCCCCTCTCCAAGAACCAGGTTTTCCCCCTCAGGGCTGGTGTTGCCCCACAGAGGTGGTGAGAGCGCGTGGCTAGGTTTACAAGGGGAGAGCGGGCTTCGGACCCAGGGAGTGGCAAGGTGCAGGGCAGGGGCCCGTGTGCTAAGACATGACAATTCCAAGGGATGGACAGTTTCTTTCACAAAAATCAAACAAAAGATTCTGCAGCAAATGTGCTGTCAGATGCACAGGCCACGGCCTTGGGGCCCGCAAGATGCCATGGCAAGCCCACGATGGTGGTGGAGGTGGGCTGATCATGGTTGGTGGTGGTCGAGGAGCTCTCCTGGCCTGGCCGTGACCTCCTGGTGCATGCACAGCGATGGGAAAGGGACACGGGAACCCTGGCCCCGGCCAGCATGTTCCCGCAGCTGGGAGACCTCACATAAAGCACCTGGGGGGGCTAACGTGGATGTGGGGTACCAGGCCCCAGTGTAACCAGTGCTGTGCTTGCAGGTGGCTACTTTTCTGGTGAGCAAGCAGGTAAAATGATCCAGAACGCCATCCTGGACCTGTGCTCACAGGTGAGCTGCGATCACTCTCGCGTCATCACGATTCGCCCGCGTTACATGTAACCACTGCATAATGGCACACGCCTTTGCTTTGCACACATTCGTGTGTGTGCAACGCTGAGCAAAAACAGGAAGATTACAAGAAAATATGCCTATGTCAGGAATCTTAGGCAGAGAGTAACTCTTAGGGAATGTCTTAGAGTCTGTACTCTGTAATGCACTTTTTACAGCCACCCTGGTAATTCTCTCAAGCTTTCCAGGGACTCAGCCTCCGGCTTAAATTCATTTCATGGTATTTTTCTTGTGTATGGCATTCTTTTACCTTTATCACAGAAAGGTCACGTGGGCCAAACCCCCACCCTGTGCTCTAGTGGTGCTCTGTCCAGTGGGCCTTTCTACGGGGGTGGACATGTCCAGAGCTGTGCCGTCCCATCAGTCACTGTAGCCCCACGGCTGTCGGCCATGGAAAGGGGCCCGTGTGACTGAGGTGTTGGTCTTTGATTGTCACCAGCAACACTTGAAGGGCCTCATGTGCTGGTCCCCCTGAACTAGGCAACTGTCCTTAGCAGAGTCGTCTCTCCTCTTGATGGCAGGAAACCCATTTATAAGGTGTCTCAAATGACCGGCGACATGCCGCTCCATTTCTCCCTCTTGGAGCTCAGAGTCGATGTGGTTCCAGGCAGCACCTCTGACTGGTTTTCAAACCTCTCCCCAGACTCAGCTCGCCAGTGGCCATCCCTCAGTCTCCGGGGGTTCTGGATCGGCGTGCATCTGTGACCGCACCGCACCCATGTGTGGCCACGCGTACTCTCCGCCCAGTAAAACCAGTAACTGGAGGGTTTCCTGGGTGTGTTCCCCTTGCTCTCAAATAGCTGCGTCCCCCAGGACCTGCACCTGGCGGCTGTGGCCCAGGCGGGCAGGTGGTCTCATGCACAGTCATGCCCCGGATGCGTTTCCGTCCGCCACCGGGGAGGCCCAGGTCCTTGTGGTCACTCCGGGGCGCCTGGGTCAGACAGGTGGAGGGGGTGCAAGCCCCGTCCAGCAGTTCACTTGTGCATTGTCTGTGGGTGTGTTGGTGTGGCCTCAGCAGAGGTGGCCGCTGAGCCGGACCGTTTCCTGCTGCTATATGGCAGGTGTGCTGACCCCTATCTAGACAAGGGGCCTTGCTGTGCTGATGGTTCCATCTGAAGTGGGCAGACTTGTTCATCTGTGAGCCGAGGGGCAGAGGGCGTGTGGCCGTGGAGCGAGGGAGCGGGTATGCTAATGAGCAGCACCCGAGCCACGAAGATGTGCTCCTCTCCTCTCTTGTGTGGACCGGGTTATTCCGAGCCAGCCAGGTGCTTTCCGTCTGCGCTGCCGAAACCGTCCCACTCCAGGTGCAGCCGAGGCACTTCACAATTATTTAAAAAAAAAAGAATGTTTTTGCATTTCAAGAAAGTCCTTGGGAGTCTTCTCCCATAAATTCCACGTGTCCTATTGAAGAACCACTTGCACGAGGGGACAGGGGCGTCATAAAACCTCCGCACACCAGACAGCCTTGGTAGGACGGCTTTCCCAGGTGCCCATAAACACCTTCCCTGGCACATTTTTTCCGGACATGTTTTCCTTTGCTGGAACGGCAGCTGCCCAGATCGGGCAGGATTCAGACACAAACCTGAGGACGCCTGCTGGTTAGTGAGCCGCTGAGCCGCTTTTACGAGCAGCCCCTACCTTATTGAAAAACAGTTAATGCACTGGAAGTCTTAAGTGATTAGCAACATGGAGAAAATATTCAGACACACACCAAGGGAATCTGTGATGCAGGCCAACGGAAAGATAATGCGTTAGTAACCGAGCCACGCACGCTCCTGCTGGGGTTACTGTTGCTAGCGGGTTGTAGCAACAAACGGCCAGCACTCTGTTTCTCAGCGGTCGCCATGGAGATTTCTGGGGGTTGCCAAGCGAATGGACTTTGTTTTCCAACAGCTGAAAGATGATGCGGTTGCCCTGGTGGACGTGATCGCCCCTCCCGACTTTGTCCTGAACTCCCCGATTGGCAGAGCCGACGGTGAGGTGAGGCTGGGTGGGAAACGCCGCGCATCCGAGCACCAGTGGGGGCTGCTCTGGGGGTGCTGGTGGTTGTTGCCGAGCCTGGGATGCTGGCATGGGCCAGGAGCGCCCTGGCGCCTTCCGGAACATGCTCCACTCAGGCAGGGGTGGAGGGAGGGGCCAGGAGAGGTCAGGGTGGTCTGGGGCGAGTTAGCCTCACCCCGGCCCGCCTTCCCGGGAGATGTGGGCTGGCGGCACCGCCCTCCTAGGGCCGGGGTGCTGGGATCAGCACAAGCCCCTGTCGAGTGCGGGGGCCCTGCGGCGGTCCTCTTGTTCTCACACCCCCAGGGGCCGTTCCCAGTGCTGGGTTTTCCTGACATCTCACAGTGCAGGACCCTGACCCTTTCTGTCAACCGACCATTCACCCCTGGTACTTTCGCTTCCCAGCAGCCCCCGCTTGGCTCCCTGATCTCTCTTGCCGTGCTATGCTCCAGAATGATTTCTTCAAGTGATCTTGTCAGGTCACTCCTCTGCTGAGCGCTCCACCACCATCCCTCATCCCCAAACCTGCATGCACTTCCCTTCCCACACCCCCAGTCCAGGCAGCCTGACCTCTGTCTGCCTGGTTCTGCAGGGTCATTTTATGCTGTGCTCCTCCTGCCCGCTGGACTCCAGCCTGACTGTCCCCCTCTGTTCTTCTATTACACTAGGCCTCCCCACCACAGGGCCTTTGTACCGGCTGTCCCTCTGCCTGGAGCACTTCCACATTGCACCTGAGCAGAACGCTGCCTCTCAGCCCTTCCCTGGCCTCCAGCCCAAGTGTCGCCCCCAGGCAGGTGCCCCCACTTTGTCCTGCCATGGGACCGTTGCTATGCTCGTTCCTGAGCCCACTCCTATCCCGCGTGCTGCGGGATGCTCACGGGTCTGCTCAGTGCCTTCCAGGAGTGCACCACCTACAGCTTGTTGTTGCAGTGTTACCGCTCGCCTGAGGTCTCACAGACCGGGACCCCACCTGACCCCGACCCCCAAGGCCATGTTCTTTGTGCTGAAACACCTGCTTTCAACTCAGGCTCTGTTTCAGTGGAGACTGAACGTAAGGGGGCAGGAGCCCTCCATGTGTGCTCGGGGGAACAGACTTCTCCAGGGAAGCGAGCAGGTGCCCTGGCTGTGGCCTGGCCCAGGCCACACCTGGGGTTGGGATGGTGTACTGGGCCCTGGGGTGGGCAGGATAGAAGAAGTCCCCAGGCCGGTGTGGGGACAGTAACATCTTTAGAGGCCCGCTGTCCTCTAGGCCCCTCCCACATGGTGTCTGTTACACAGCCGCTTTGCCAGGGAGAAACCCGACATCCAGAGAAGCCAGGTGGCCTGCCCACAGCTGCCCAGCCAGGAAACAGCAGAGCCAGGATGTGGGTAGAGATTTACCACCTGGAGAGAAGACAGGAGACCGGACCTCAGTCCCCAGTGTGGCCCGGGCCCCAGTGGGTGCACGCAGGAGGACGTGCCAGTAAGGCAGGGGGCTGAGGCTGACCTGCCCATGGGGGCACTTACCAGGCATCCGGCTGACATGCACTTGAGGAGGACCTGGACATGGCATCATGAGAGGCCCTGAGTCCCCGGGAGTGTTAGCGGGTGCAGGAGCCAGGGCGGCCGGCTCACTGCCCTGCAGAGACAGCCCGGCCCCCGGGCCGAAGAGTGGCTGGTGCGCAGGAGCCTGTCCCTGAGCTGCAGGCTCTTTCTGGCTCCGGATTCCACCGTGGAATCCCGAGGCCTCACCTGACAGGCAGGTGTATACGGCACACATTGTAACCAGGGGCTGCTAGGTGAGAAGTGCATTTTAAGTGAACAGACCCGGCTGCCAGAGCTTATTTAAGATGATCATTCCATGAAGCATCATGTTCCAAATTGCCATATGTGACCTGTGCGGAGAGAGCGAGGCTGAGTGTCCCTGGGGGAGCAAGCAGAGCATTTGGAGGGGCCCAGGAGTGCACTCAGCAGGTGCAGGGACACTGGCTTCTTCAAAGTAAGGAGCAGCTGACTGGCTCCGTGGTCGAGCATGCGACTCTTGATCTCAGGTTGAGTTCGAGCCCCATGTTGGGTGTGGAGCCTACTTAAAAAAAAAAAAAGAGTAAAGTTTGTCAAGGCCAGCCCAGTACATAGGAGGCCCCTTCCCTGGCTCTGTGGACTGGAGACCTGTCAGCCTGGGCGCCGTGTTTGGGGTGGATGAAGAACCAGTCAGCAGCTCCTGCAATGTGCATGGCCTTCCTCCAGGATAGACACTGCTCTGCTTTCCCCACGGGGCAGCCCGGCGGAAGGGGTTTGCTGTGAGCATGCTGGAGGAGGTCGCCCACTGGCCCAGACGTGCAGGCGGACGGGGCCCGTGTGCAGGCACCCCCTCAGCTGCGCAGGGGAGGGGGCACGTGTCAGAGCAGACAGCTAGCGCTCACCTGCAGAACCCTGCGGGCCTCCCCCTACGAGAGTTCCCAGAGAAAAGGACACGTACAAAGCTGTCACCCTAAGCGTGTTTTAAAGTATTACGTGTTTCCAGTTGTTTTCTGTGAGAAAAAAAGATGGATGTAAATTAAATCATCTTAAAATTTTCTAAAAAGTGACCAGAGGATTTTCTGTGTTTTCAGCAAAAGCATATGAGGGGATCTGTGTCTGTCCCCTCGGCTGTGTGAGGAACCTTGTTTATTATTCATGTATGTGCTTATTTTTTGTAGCTCTATAAAAACCTCTGGACTGCTGTCCTTCTGGAAAGCAGAGTGCTGGAGAGGCCATCATGGTGGTCAGAGTTTTCCGTCCATAAGCCCCGTATAGGAAGTTTGAAATCAAAGCTGTAGTCACGCGGCACGTTCAGCTGAATCTAGGTAAGCTGGTCCAGCTGATGGAGACGGGGACCTCAGATCCTGGTTCCAGACGATATGGAAACGCTGCCCCTTTCTGAACACACCTGTGTTCATACCCGCCCGGGGAGGGCTCCCCGCAAAAGGCACAGGGCAGGTGCCTCCGCCAGATTTGCTGTGTGCAGAGAAAATCCACATGATCACCTCTTCCCGATGGACTCCTTTTTTGATAATTAGGACTTTGCACGTGCTGCGTTCACATGCCGGAGAGGAGGCCACGTGCTCACAATCAGGGGCTTTCTGGTCTGATGATCTTCCGCATTCTGAGATTTCTTCCAAAGCTCTGCTTCACTAGTGCTCAATGATGCCAATCTGATTCTTTGTTAACTGCTTTGACTTTATCGTGTAATTAAATCCTATTTTAAGCTTACCTGAGTGATGTAATTTGAGATTTCTAAGGAGAAGAAAATCCATTCTGTGTGGAAATTGCAGTTTCCATCAAGGAAATGTTTCCAAAGAAAATAAATGCATCACATGAGTCTGGTCAGTTTAGGGTGCTGAGCTGCCGGGTCGCACGCTCGTTCCTTCATCCCGGTTTGCAGTTCGGATCCGGCTGTTCTGCCATCGGCAGGATGGCCCGTGCTGCTCAGCGGCTCCCCGCCCGGCCCCGTAGGCGAGTGCGCCTGCCTTCCGGCGCAGACCAGGTCAGAGGGGGGCGGACCCCCGGGCGGTCACTCGTGGGTCCCTGCTCAGCACAACCGGCTCGCGGGTGCCTCTCTGTCATCAGCAACTGCTCTGTCACCTTGGAGCGGAGCAGGCAGACATGACCCGGGCGCCCGAGGACCACAGGCGGTGCCAGGGGACCAGGGATGGCTCTTCTTGCTTCCGAAGCTCCGAGCCTCCGAGCACAGGAAGGGCAGGGCAGGACCTGTTTTTAAAGACTGAATTTCCAGCTTTGGGAACTGCCGGAGTGGTTCCTTGACTTCTCAAGCCTCAGTTACCACGCCTAGAAAAGGGGAACCCAACCCCACCCTGGGCCCCAAAGGGCAGCCAGGAGCAAGTGACTGGGTAAGAGGAGCTGCTTTTATTGAGCACTTACTGTATGCAGGGACTTTGTTGTCACCATTCCTGGACCCTCAGACAGCCAGGTGAGGGCAGTCGTACTAACATGCCCATTTTACAGGTGAGAAAACTGACCCTGAAAGCCTCAGTCACCGCCATGGCCCAAACACGGCCAGGAAGTTGTCCGGCCCAGAGCACACGCACGACCATCCCGATGTTCTCGGCCCAGCACAGGGCCGGCACAGAGCGGGCCCTTGGTAGTATCAGGGTCATAGTTTTAACTGCGGGGAACTCCCACCCGAGTGTAATATACCTCTGGGTGGGCGTTTTCTACCAGCAGCTGCAAGAAGCTGTCCCGGGTCCAGCGAGCTGCGCCGAGGGCCGCGGCTCATTCAGCTGGGAGTCTTCCCCCTTGGGTGCAAACTAGGAGCCAGCCTCCTGAGGCTCTGTGGGGCCGGCTGGGCGGATACAAATGGAAACCACCAGAGCATAAAGAAGACAGTAAAAACCAGCCCAAACCCCTGTTAGCGTCCCGCGGACAGGTTCTTGGAGGACTTGTTTGCATCATCGTGCCCGTCCTCCGGGAGTGATGGACGGCAGCTGGCATGCCCTACAGCCTGCAGACGCCAGCCGTGAAGCCAGCACATGGCCATCGGGCACAATTTCAGGAATGTAGAAAGCGTCAAAGAGGAAAATGCCACAGCTCCACTCTCAGCCATAACCACTGCTTACATGTCATTTCCTTTGGGGCCAGAGGGCACAGAATTGGGTTCATTGTCGTCCTGGGTTCGTGCCGGGTTTGCCCCATGCCACTCCGAGGCCAAAACGTTGACTGTCCTGTCCCCACTGCTTGGGGCCTGGTGGACAGTTCATCCCACCTCTGGTGGCGTGCTGGAGCGCCCCATTCCTGAGGCCCTCTGTGTGTTTGTGCACTTGTGTGTGTGTGTGTGTGTGATTTTCCTAACAGAGTGTGGGGCCATCCTCTAGACTCCTTTTCCTGCTGAAGGGTGTTTCTCAGGCACTTCCCCTGCTGAGCAGCACGAATGTACAAGCTTAACAAGCCTCCTGAGGGACGTGGAGAGTTAGTTTCTGCTCGGAGTGGCTCTGTGCATGGGTCAGCTCCTGGAAGCTGGCCTGCTGGGACCAGCACCTTGAGGGAGGGGCTTGTGATACCAGCACTGAGTCAGAGGTGGCACAGCCAGCGTGGACAAGCACAGGATGAGAGCCAGGCAGGACCAGGCGGCACCCCTGATGAAACAGCACGAACCACTGAATCCACCTCATTCCACACTTGTCAGCATTGAAATGGGCTAGCGAGGAAAGCACAGCACACGGGCCTGGCCCGCAGATGGTCAGTGCTTGAGAGGTCTCCACATTATCACACCGTGCCCAGGAAGGCACCTGCCTTTCCCGCTCCGTTGCCCTTCCCAGCGGTGTCCTCCCGGTTCCAGTCTGGGCGGTTAAGGAACACTGGCGTCTCCTGGGCAGATGCACTCTTCCCTGCTCCCTACGGAGGCTGAACATGTCTCCCCAACTATTTATAGGCTATCTCTCTGTGCTCTGTGATGATTGCTGCTTCTCGCTTTTTGCCTAATGGAGCCTTTAGTTTTCACAATATTTTGTTGATTTTAAAAATAGTTTTTACATATTAAGAACAATAAACCTGGGACATACATATTATCTATTACTTTCCCTCATTTATCTTTTGCCTTTTGATTGTATTAATTTTTTTCTTTTTGATTTAACATGAAGATTAAAATAAAATTTGAAATCTTATATAAAACTAAGAATCTTTTCTGCTTCGTCCTTTGAGGTCATGCTTGGAACGTTCTCTCCCACACCAAGATTATTTCTACTTTCATCTGTTTCTCTAGAGTGTATCACAGTACTGAGTTGACCAGGAGTTGATTTTGAGATACGGTGTGAGGTAGGGATTCCAGATGGCTGGCCCTAACTGGAAGTGCCACCTGCAGCAAATGCCAGAATCACAGACATTCCTGGGGCCATTTCTGCCTTTTTCTATTTTAGTGTCTTTTCTCACATCAGCTCCTACGGTTTCCATTATTGTGGCTTTCATACTTTTCAGTATCCTTTGGAGCAGGCAAAACCTCTCTCGTCTCTTGAAAAAAATGTCTTAGATGTGCCAACTTTGGTATTATTTTGTGAAGTTTGGTGCTCTCCCTTCTCGAGATTAATGAAAGAATCTTTGGAATTTGGGGTTTCATTTAATCTATAGATTACTATCAGGAGAATTTATATCTTTATGGTGAGTAGTCTTCCCATCTAAGACCTTTTATTCATGTTGTTTTTAATAAGAAGCTATCTTGCTTTGATATATTTACTGTAACTGGTCACTTTTTTAAAAACCTTAGTTATTATAGTCTTATGTTGATTCTCTTGGGTTTTCCTTATATGTCATTGGCAAATAGTGATGGTTTGGCCATTATCTTCCAAAACTTTTACCAGTCATTTAACCTTCCTGGCTAGCGTCTGCTGGTCCTGCTGGAACAGTCTCCTCACAGGTGGCGGTGGCCCCCACTGTCCGGTCTCAGACATTCAGGGTTTGCCTTCAGGGGTTTGCATCGGTGTGATGCTGTGTGCGGGATGGGCTGCAAAGACAGACAAAGGCAGGGGACCAAACCAGGGACCTTCTATCTGGGCCACATACACAGGCGCGTGCTCATGGCTGGAAATCCGACTCCCCGAGGACAAAGACTGTGGACTGGGAGTCTTCCCCCTTGGGTGCAAACTAGGAGCCAGCCTCCTGAGGCTCTGTGGGGCCGGCTGGGCGGATACAAATGGAAACCACCAGAGCATAAAGAAGACAGTAAGAACCAGCCCAAACCCCATGACCATTCTCAAGAGCCCATTAACATCTTGGGATTGAGGTCTTCCTTGTGGCCACTAAGGTTCTTGGTGGCCGTTGGGCCCTCTGTTATCATGGGGCTGCATCATTGACATTTGGGGACCGTCCCTTTTGATGTGCTTCTGATAGCCTGGCCTCAGCTCTAGTCACCTTTCTCCCAGTCTTTTTATCCCCCACGAAAGACTGAAGGTGGTCTTGCCCTTGGGACCACCCCTTCCACGAAGTCAGTGTTTACTCAGCACCCACCCACACACCGGGCACCACGCAAGGGTGTGCATCTTAGTTACAAGCTTCCTTTCTGTGCTACTTGGCTCATGCAGCTGTTTGGACATTCCCCAGACTCCATGGGGAGCGTGTCCTGCCGGACGGTGGGCCCCATCCAAAGACAACAGGAGGCCACACGGCTTCAGGCAGTGGCCTCCGGGTGCGTGAGCCACTGGCTGCCTAACTGCTCGTGACCGGCAAGCCGGGCCGACATACCCGCCACATGGAGCCCCAGCGCCGGACCGGCCCCAGACACTCGCAGAACGGCTCAGCCGTGTGGCTCCTGGCTACATCCGTGGCAGGTCCGCTCTCCACGGGGTGCAGGAAGACATCCTCCGCCTCCGGACAGGGGACTCCTGGCCACGCGGTGCAGCCCAGCAATCCCACGCGGCCCCTGGTTTGCTTTCATGTTCACTCACAGCCACTTGCGGTACCTGAAACTGATACCCGGGGACTTTTCTTGGGCTGTGGCCTTGATCCTGAGTCCAGGAGGTCAGGAAGGCTCAGGGGGACCCATGTTCCTACCAACTGCCGGGAAAGCTCCCTCACCCTGTTTCCCTTCCAGCGCGAGGACTGAACTCAGGTGGTTCCTATCCTGCCAGACTGCCCGGCGGCCCAGGGAGGTGGCTCAAGCTTCGTGATGCCCAGAGGAAGGCAGTGCTGGTCCCGTGAAATGGCGCGTGAGCACGGTTATTCCTACTCCTAGGAGTAGGTTTGCCAGTCTCTTGAGCAAGGAGGCCCGCGGTACTTGCAAGAGAAAACTCGACTGTGGTCTTACAGAGGCCAGAGGCTTGGAGTGCGAAAACCAGATGTGAGACTTGCCCCCGGGGGTGTGTTCCAGGTGCCCTAATGCCATTTGCAAACATTGCTGACATCTCTTGAAATTCTTCATCTTCACTCTAGAGTGAGGCTTGTAAAAACAAAATAGGTTTTTAGGAATGTTTCCTTAGGTCATCATCCTTAAAAACCCTGGCCCAATATTCCTTCTGGCAGCCTGGAGAGGAGGGTGGCAGCATCTCAAGAGGACCAGCTTTGGAGTTAGGACCAGGTTCAAGTCCTATGTGGTTGGTCACTGGCTGTGAGGGCTTGGGCCCATTTCTTAACTTCCCTAAAGGTGTTTGCTCCTTCCTGTTTGCCGGGTTGCAGGGGCTGATTGAGGTAATATGTCATGTAGTCCCAAGCACGTGGGAGGGCCCACGGCTCACTGACCTGGACCCTTGTGGCTGGGCCTAGGACTC